TTAATTAGTAGTAATATTAAAGACCACAAAAGTCGATATACATTCATAATTGCTTAATTTTAAAATCTTGAATCATTTAGTTAATACTTTGTGTGTGATTGTTGCATTCGTGCACCATAAATATAAACTGATTTTACGTTCTTTTGTACGAACGATTGGGTTTTTGGGTTCCGCTTGGCCACGTAAGTCAAGAATGTAGTGCGTTTCTACGGAAATTAATTATTATTATTATTATTATTATTATTATTATTATTATTATTATTATTATTATTATTGTTGTTGTTGTTGTTATTATTATTATCATCTTCATCTTCATTATTATCATTATTATTTTACTATAGTAGTAGCTTTGTAGTAATGGTAGTGTCAGTAGCGTTCCCTGAATATGAATCTGTGCTAGGCAATCGATAAACCTCACAGACTCGACTCCCCCCAGTGAGAACAAGGTGCTGGTATTCACACCCAGAGAGGTTGATGTCCTCCTCTGGAAATTTACTTTTATGTCCCTGCTAGAGATACAATTCATATGTGGGTGCTTCGTTTATGATTGCCGCCCTTTTATACGTTCAAAATTAGGAAACTGGAAGAGAAAGACGTTCAAAGAGCATTCTTAAAATATATTCAATCTGCGCCACGTAAGTCAAGACAGTCTTCATTTCACTGGTCAATTCGTTTCCCTGAACAAAACTGCCAACTCGGAGTGTGAGGAACAATATAAGTATGAATATATGTGTGTAGGAATATTGCATGCAGTACTTCAAGAGCACACGTTCTACTACTACTCTGCTTTCAAAACTCGATTTACGTGCGTGATTCCTAATATTTTTGAATTAGTCCAGTTATTGCTTGCGTGCAGATCGTGACGTGTAGACTCGAGCCAATTCAACGGCGCCTCGTACGAGCGACCGACTTCCGGAGTCCGCATGGCCACCGGCGTCGCGCGCTGAGTGGGCCGCGAGTGACGCGGTGGGTGTGACGCATCACGTGCCGCCGGGCGTGGGTGCCCCTCTCCTCCCGCCGCCCCCCGCCCTCGCGCCTCTGAGGGGCCTAATGTCTCAATTTGCGGCAGGCGAAAGCCGTGACGAAGTGCTAATAGTCGCCTCAAACGACATGATGATAGTTCCCACACCTCCACACTCGTGGGCACGTCGCTTTGATCAATATAATAGGGGTTTTCTTCGAAACTCGTTATTCGCTGCAGGATAACTCCTTAATTCGCACTCGCCTGTCAATTCCAAGGATGAACCGGCGATTCCGGCTGAAAATCGTTTATGCTTTCGCATACCAATAGGCGTGAAACGGAAAAGAAAGGCAGGAGGATTACAAGATACCACACCAGCTTGCACACCGTTCGATAGAAAACTTCATTCAACTTCAGATGTCTATTTTGTTTTAGACTTTCACTCACATATTTCCAAAATCAATCATAAAAATTCATTCTTTATAAAGAATGTCAATGGATCAGTGACAGGAATGCCGTTGCATCATTGTGCACATCATTGGAATTCGAATGCAGACGGAGACAGTGAGAATTCTATCTACCCATAATCCGAACCTGTTTTACTAATTTTCACATCTGGCGGCATTTTGTATTTTCATAGAGACAATGTGTTCACTGTAATTCAATTTTAATAAAAATGCCAAGTATTTACGGTAATTCTAACACATTACAAAAGTACTCTTGTGCTCCCAATGATAAACATGTCTAATTAAGCTTACTAATTTAGATGTGTATAAAACGAGCATGATTAAATTATGAAAAGAATATTACAAAACTTATCGAAAAATTTCAGAAAATAATATCAGAGGTATAAGCTCAATGAAACTATTTAAACGATAAATATACCAATTTAAATGATAATGTAATGAAGGATAGCATTCCCAACGTAATTTTCTAATATGCGTGTTTTTTTATGTCGATATGAAAAAGAGCACGCATTAGTAAAGCTGAAATCTTACAAATTGAGTGAGTATGGCCTGAATGCCTCATTGAGATATAATCCCTGCCAACGAGTTTATTAGCGGCTCCAACACTCCTCTAGAGAGGGGGAACTGTTTTCCCAACGGCAGATGGCCAGGTAGGTGCAACGGGGAGGCCAGTAGTCCTTCATCAAAATGCTCTTCTCGGGCGAAGAACGGACATGATATCCTTCTCTTGGAACCACTTAGACTCCTCCTACTTTTTCCCTTCCGCCATTGTCTCCCCACGGCCAAAGAAGCCCACTTGGTGCAATAATACAGTCATCACGCTCAGGAATGAATAGAGCCAACGTTTCCTAGATATTTCCCATAATATGAATAAGTAGATACGATTCAAGACATAATATATACCTACATTTATGCACAAAAAACATTTTACAGAAACAATGTTATCTGAAAGTATCTGTGAATCAATATAAATAAGGTAGGTAATAAACAATGGATATTTTATGAGACGAAAAAAATAAGAAATAAAGTAGTTGCTCAACAGCAGTCCATGATGTATCACTATTTAATGAAAATATCATCAACAAACAATTTTAATTCTTAATTAACTTTCCACTCACAAAATATAAAATCTTTTTTAAAAATTTATTAACATAAACTGTTTAGCACTGATATCTTTAGATCTGAAAAACGTCAAGATATTCAAAGTAAACAAAAGACTACAAAAATGTTCTAGCTCTTCCTTTACATGGTGTACCGGAACAAATTTTACAAGACAGTCTCGAGTAGTACACTATCAATATTATTTCGTTTTAGCGTAATCTTCGTTTCAAGTGGGCAAAATGATCTTAAAAAATCCGTTTTACTTTATTTGAGTTAATACATTCAAAAAAGGTAGCCCGCACGACAACCGATGTTGCAACAACACACGGAATGGTAGTGTCTGAAATAAACTGTTCCTCGCAGAACTAAACCGTTTTCCTCCTAAAATTCAGTTTTGAGGACGATATATTAAGAAAAAAATTCAGATAGTGTCGTAGTTGGCAGTCCTGTGACTTGACGATTAAAAATATTCAAAGGAAGTCCATCTATGAATTACTATAGCAAAAATTTATTATAACCATAGCACAAAAATACAAGCGAATTATTCGAGACGACTGCTGAAATGTCCACTTTGAAATCGCGCCTTCCGGGCCACTGTGCCCCTCTCTCTCCCCGTCCTAGGGCGGCGCGGCGGCCAGCGAACATCAAACGGCGGCCGCGGCGCCTTGTGCGCGGTGCCCCGGGGCAGTCGGAGGCTGTTCATGCGGAAGAACGCAGCATTCAGCCCATTCACTCGCCACATTTCTACACTAGCGCATTCAGGGCTTTTAACGCTGTCCGCGACCACGGCATAGGTCGGCAGACCGGCCGGACACGACAACCCTTCAGGAGTGACAGGGTAGCTGCCCTCTTTCTACCTGCGGCGCCGTTTAACACGTGTTTTTCACGCGTATTCAGGTGCTGGTACTACCCCCCTGCGGTTGTCCTTGGGCCATCGCGCCGCCAATGGGGTGGAAAAAGAAAAATTTTCGAAATAGGGTCCTTCTCGGGGTGTCTGCGAATAACAAGAGTGTTCTCTAAAAAGCGTACAAGTACTTGTGAGGTATTCTAAATACTTAGAGGGTGACTTCCAACAATGAGTTCAAAGTTGCGCGCCGTCTTTCTCACAACTTCGTACAACTCTGAACATTTTCATATAAAAAAGACATGAAAACTATGGCATTTGCGGTTTTTAAACAACAGAGGACACAGAGAGTTTGTGTTCTCGTCCTATTGACCGGGGAATGACCATGTGAATCAACATTTTGTCTTTCAAATCTCTTTGCACGTACATCATCTGCAATCTTTATTATCAACAATACGGGAGAAGAAACGTGTATCAATTATTTTCATGAAAATGTAAGTCACGTTCATAAAAACATTGTAGAATTTATGGACATGTAATATTTCCAAAATATTTTCTCCGGGAACGGATACTTAGCTGTCTGGGGTGAGCCGCGTCTCAGTCGAACGAGTTGACGTTTCGGTCATCGTGTTGTGGCCTTCTTTACAGCTATACTGCAGTACAGCTCTGACGAAGGGCATACTGAAGTATAGTTCCGAAGAAGGCCACAACACGATGGCCGAAACGTCAGTTCGATCGACTGAGACGCGGTTCACACCGGACAGCCAAGTATCCAATGACTCCGGCCGCGGAAGCCTACGAATACATTTTCTCCGTCAATTTCATGAAGAAATAATCGCGAGTATAATCGTAGATCTGAGAGAATTATTAAATCCGACCTAAAACGATGTAAGGCTTTATTTATTCAAACTAGACTAGTCATTCAGCAGCCATGTTCTACTAATATATATTTTCCAATAATTTCGTCGAAATGTATCCAGTAATGATTGACAACGTGAATGACACTCTACATGAAGTGCAGGAAGTTTTAATTTAATATGTCTATCAACAGACACATTATGGTAGAATCAGTTAATGAACATAGTATAGAATATATTCCACATATGACTGCAAATGAACTGTCGACTATTGAACTTGTTATGGATTGGAAAAGATAAATGACAATTGGAAGTTGAGATGATTTCTTGATAAAGGAATTAGAATAATAAGAACTAATTATTAATATTCAGTTTATTCTTCTTAAATATTTTACGTTTGGATCAATATATATTTTATTTCTTCTTCAGGTTTGTGTGAAACTTCTCATCCAAGATTTTCAATTGTTAATCTTGACTAAAGTGATGAAAAATGGGAACTCGTGAAAAAACATATGACTAAAAAAGAATCTAAATATATAGGGTTCAAAACGTAAATATTTTAAGAAAAATAAACTGTTTGATTTGGTTCGTACAATTCAATACACAAAATGTGACTTAGCAACGTAAACATAAAAAAACTTAAAAACATAAAAAATGGACTTGGTGCGTTTCACTTGTACCCCGACGTGTTGAGCGCCATGTAAGCCGCATCTGGCAAGATACTTGAAGGCATTCGAAGTTGTCTGTGGTGAGGAAGCGCGCGCGCTTACCGCTGCTGTCGCCGTGCTCGCCGATGATCCAGCCGTGCACGCTGTCCGGCGCCACGTTGAGGCGCTCGGCGATGAAGACGCGGAACCGCGACGAGTCCAGGCACGTGCCCGAGCCGATGACGCGGTTCCGCGGCAGCCCGCTCAGCTTCCACGCCACGTACGTCATGATGTCCACTGCAACACGCGTCCGCCACCTCCAGGGTCGCGCCACGGGTTCATTTCGTGGCAGACGAAAAGCACAACTATTGTAGCTTCCGATAAACTCGCGACACGCAAATCTATCTGGCAATTTCTAATGCATCGTGACATTTAATAAGATTTCCACGAATGTATGTATTCGCAATTTATGAATTTGTACATTTTTAATTTAACGGTAATTTGTAAAATTAAAATTTTGACTTAAACTTGTAATTTGACAGAAGTATGGTGCAAATTACGTCAGTCCTGTATCGCGTCAGATTTTACACTGTCAGTACATTAGCCAGCCAGCCATCAGAATTGCAGTGCACTCGCTCTTCACAAATGACGCTAATGACCTGCCGAGTCTACCACGCCTTGGAAATACACCGCACATAAAGTTGCGGTTATATACAGAATGTGAGAAAACGAGAAATTACAAAAAATGAAACAACACTTTTTACGGAAATCCAAGGTTTTGGGGCCTAAGCGGTAAAAACATGATTACTATTTCTTTTAGGAACACTCCTGTATTTTTACACCTGAAATGGCCCGTCCTCCACTAACCTAAACCGTGAGTCATTTGAAATATATCGAAGTCGTTCACATCCTTTAATGCAGGCACTGCAATTCCTTGCCTACCCCTAGGAGCCGCCATTGCATGTTAAATGCCATTCCGTCTGTGTAAGGTGGAAGCCGCGGGCGCACTCACCCGGGTTGGAGACGATGAGCAGCACGCAGTCGGGGCTGTACTTGACGAGCTGCGGGATGATGCTCTTCATGACGTCGGCGTTCCGCTGCACCAGCGACAGCCGCGTCTCGTCCTTCTGCTGCCGCACGCCCGCCGTCACGATGGCGATGCGCGACTTGGCCGTCACGGAGTAGTCTGCCACACACACCCCGAATTACACGAGAGAAACATGATGAAGTTTAACCTAAATAATAATAATAATAATAATAATAATAATAATAATAATAATAATAATAAAGTAATATTAGGAGTACGGTCAATGGACATTACTCCTCTCATGTTATTAAAATTGTATGTATTTGCCAAATGTTTATACCCAAACAAATTTCAAAATAAGATATTATTTTAAAAAACGTTTGACCTAGACAGAAGATGACTGTCCTTTTTCTCTAAAAATGTGCATTAATCTCTGAACGAATGAATTAATCTTTAAGGCTTTCAATTGTATTCCTAAATACAATTGAACATCCTTATATATAGTAGCGACACTTTACGGCTTATGCCGTCTAGTTCTCCTTCGTGCTTCTTCGCGTGCACTTCGTTTCTATTCTTGTTTTCGTTCCATAATACAGAATTTGATTTAGGAACCATAGTTCGGCCTTTTATTTTTTTTCTGTGATATCACAATAACTCTATTTTCTTGTATTAATAACATTCCAAAACATTTGTATTTAGTAGTATTGTTTAGGATGATCCTATGAATATTTAGATTTTGTCATCACACACTACAGCCATATATTCAGTTTTTTCTATGTTAATTTCTAGACCCAATTCTTTATTCTCTTCCACGAGCTTTCTTGTTAAGTAATATCTTTCTCATTTTCCGCAAGCACAACATGGTCGTCAGCAAACAGTACATTAAAAATATTTTCTGACGCGTTTTGGACTCCCATTTGTCTACACTTTTTTGACCAATTTCTTACGGCTGTATTGAAATATAGTTTGCATAAAGTGGGTGACAAGCAGTGACCCTTTATTCACAGGTAAGCATTAAAAAAAGTTTTGCCCGCTTTCATTCGCATCTCATATTTCCCTCATAAAAGCGAGCACTTACACAGGTTGGGTGAGTGTCATTTTTAGCCATTGTCTCTCACAATTTATTCACTAGCACACTTCTTTTAAATCTACAAAAAGGAGTTGGAACTCCTTTTTAATAATAATAATAATAATAATAATAACAATAATAATAATATACATAGAAACGTTCTGTGTTGTTTTTCTGTTTGTTTTATCTGTTCTACAATTTTATTTCGTAAAGATCGTCCATACAGCCTACTCGTTGTAGGTGTAACACTAATTCCCTTGTAATTTGTGCATTAATTCTTATTTCCTTTCTTTATAAATGGCACGTATATTAAATTTTCCACTTTCTTGACATCAGTTCTCCGCTCAGGCATTTATTATCCATTTCTGTAAGATATTCTACATCTGCATCTTGTAATTATTTTGTAGCTCCGCGGGTATACCTCCAGAACCAGGTGATTTATTATTTTTCATTTATTTTAGTAGCTTTTTATCTGATTAATATTTCTGTATATTATTTAAGTCTTGTTTTTTATGTTTTGCACATTTCAAAATTGTTGCCTGTTCTCTGTTGGAGTTCTCTTAGTACCCTTAGGAAAATCGAGATTTATATTGATAAGCCAATTGTCGCCAAGTTTCAAACATAGGAATTTGACGAAAAGAGGAGAATCTGCTAACACTCTTGACGCAGCGTCGATTGCACCTCGAGAAAGCTCAGAAAAAAATGTTCCATATCGGGGTCTGTGCGTGTTTGGAAGAAGCTGGAAACTGACACACGTCAAAAAGGAAAAACGTCTCACCAAGAGACATTAAAAAATGGCACAATTTCCCCTGTCAGTGCTAGCGAACATGCTTGATCCAAACCAGATTGTCCCAGATTTTCAATTAACGGAAGAAGAAAAGAAGGCTGCCTTAAACTTTGTATCAGAAAAATACCACGGATCACGGTTCCTTCTAGTACTAATAAAGTTCCAGGCATGGTTTCTAACTCTTCAAATTATTCGAGGAAATTGTGACATCCAATGTTTCCACCTCTGAATGGTGGAAACGTCAAGAGGACGATATAATTAAAATTAACAAAACTCGCCAAATGTTTAAGCTGATCACGCTTTAACCCATTTTCACAAATGTAGCGAGCGTTTTTTTTTCTTTTTTTTTCATCTTTTGGGTTAGTGCAGTCCAAACTACGGAATAGACTAGGGGTAGATAAAGTATCGGAACTGTTTTTCTGTTTAAACTCTATAACAATGACTGTGAGGAACAATAACAACAGGAAGAGTGAAGCATTACAATATTGACTTATTTTATTAATTTATTTGTTCTTTCAATAACAAGTGTTTGTATTAGAATTATTGTATTTAATTTTTTTTATATAGAATTATTCCCATTAAACTATGTCTTATGTCAATAATTTAACGAAAATGTTCAGTATCGCAACGTGTTTTAATATTCTACATTTCTACTTTCTCATATGACTGTCTTTTACCACATTTACGTCGGTAAAGAGTTGTTTTCATTATTGTCCGCAATAAATTGTTTTAAATATTATTTTATTATACGCAAACAGGACTGCTAGGTGACACTTACGTCTATTATCTCTATTATTTAAACAAGTCTATAAAAAGTTAGGTACTAAATAACATTAAATCCGAAGAAACTTGACTTAAATAAAATACTTTTTTAAACTAAAAAACGTGGCCAAAACCAAAAAACCTATTTTAAACAATGAAATAAAATATTTAAACAAAAAGATAAATCATAGACCATTATTGAAATAAAAAATATCTGATTGAAACAAAAAAACACTTCCGCTCGGTTTTATTAAAAAACTGTTGTTGTTTTTTTCAACCTTGAACTGCAGACCACTAGTTAATATTTGAGACTTTACCATTCCCACTCTAAAAACATGTCGTTTGGTTATTCGGTTATCAATATTCATTGACAGGATGAAATGTTACATGACTGGAAGAAACCTGGAAAATCCACAGTGAAAAACTCAATCCTATGTCCTCTGAACAAAAGGAAACAAAAATATTAGGAGGGCAATTTCAGCTGGTAATTTTTTTAGAAGTAGCCGCTAGATTTTGTAAAATAAGCCCAAATTGCATTGCATTTATATCTTGCATTACATTTGCATGTTCGTAAAGAGTAAATGCTAGTACTAAACGTTTAACTATACCTATTTTTCTGTACTATATAGAGAAATATTGTTGTCTATGGTTTCCTTCTCCATAGTAAAATGGAATTTACGTTCCTAACCCGCTTTATTGTCCTGTGTTTGTGGCGTTTGTTGTTGTAGTTATCTTTTCTTATCTATATTCACAGGTGTTACGTGAAGTAGATGAAAATATGATTTTTTTAAAAATTCACTAATTTTCTTTTTTTATGTCCACTGGCATGAATAACCTCAGACAAACCAGTTGTGTTATATAAAATTGTTTGTTCAACTCTCAGCTTTTGTCTTTACCGAGGCAATGGACTCTGTGTACGTATTCAAGTTGTTCTATGGGTATGTTTTATTCATGAACTCAGCTGATCCCGTGTTAAATGCCCGTGATGCATTGTGTACGTTGTGAAAGTATCCACTCGCTGCCCACCCGCCGCTGCCGCGGTAGCACAAGATACCATTCAGCCTGTACTTTCAAACACTGAATGTGTGGACTAAGGGCCGTGGCCAGAAGAAAAGAATGCTTCACAAAGTGCCCTCTTCTTTGGTACCAGAATTAATTAGTTCCAAAAGAAACGTTTCCTGGTGCAATGCGATTAATGGGAGCCTCGAAAATGTGTTCCCCTTACAAAATCAATGGATTAGAACTACGTGAACGATAAAGTTAAAAATTGAGAAGTAAAAAACCTATTATTTCCCCAGTAAACGAATGCTCTGGAAAATACCGTACTCCTCATCAAAATGTTGACTTTAAGCGCATCCTGTCAAATCAAATGCGCGGCAGTCGTCGGGAACTCCACCCAGAGACCGCGAAAACATGAATTTTCGTGATGTCTTCCATAGATGTTTCGTTCAATTTCCTCAAACGATGAGAGTGAGGATGTACAAATACAGTAGCCTAGTTTTCTCTTAGGAAACAAATTATCGGCGAAATTCTAAATCTCTCAATTAAATTGTACTATAATATACTGAAAAAAATATAGAATTATCAAACACCGTTAAAGAGGGAAAACATCATCAATTTGGTTTTTACGTTTTAAATCACGTAAAGAGAAGTGAAGTGTTACGTACAACAAATGTTAAGTACGGTTAAGCAATACAATATGAATAGCGACATTTAAAAATAAATTTGAATTAAATCCTTGAATACGAATTGTAGTTTTGTTAACCACAGAGCTTGAGCTTAAAGCAAACTTTTAATAAGTCGATGTGTCTATCTGAAATCCCAACTGCGAGACAGACCGGATACGTGGAACCCGCCCAGCCCGGCGGCTCGCGGGCGACAAGTGGGCAGCCCAGGCGAGCCGGGCGTCGGGGCTTGGAGAACAATACTTGCGGGTGGAGATTTAATTAGGAGAAGGAGCATCTCCGGCCGCGGCTGCCCCCGCTTGACCTCCCGTCCCCACCCCCGCCTCTCCCCCGAGCTCCGGCTACGACTCGGTATCGAGCGGCGAGGGCGTGCCCGAGATGCGCCCTTTGTTTCCACAGACAGACCATCAGTCTTATTGTTAAAACATCTGAGAAAAAAATCTCCGTCTGGCGCCGCGTGTTCGGCATCCTCGGAATGTCACGTGCCCCATGCCACGCCGCGCCTCGCTCCGCCCGTTTCCGGTGCATGAACGTAGGTTCCGCGCAAGCCCTTGGGTGAAGTTAGCAGAAAAATTGAGTGAAATAAATTTTGTATGTTGGTTTTGCACGTTTGCTTTTTCAATATTTTTCGTTCGGCCACTCTCACCAATTGTTAACAGAAAAAAAACGTCTCCGGTTGTACTTGACACGACCTTATAAATTTCCTCATGTAAAATGAATGACGAAGGGAATATTTTATGACTTGATTCTTCTATTGTGAGGTTATGATAAAAAATATACTTGCTTCGCAGTCGTAATAGACTTTCATCACGCAAAACATTACTAGTTTTCGGAATTTATAATTGTTTGCATGATG